AAACAAATGATAAAAACACTCATGAATGCTGTTTAAACAAATCTATTCATTTAAAAATAAAACTAATATTTAGACGGGAAAAAAAAAGTATAATAAGAATACGACCTGACTTTGATAACATGGACCACATCTGGATTATAGAGACCACATTAGGTCTCAGCTGCTGGGTGACATTGTGCGGCCTGTCCCTGGATTACCACGCCACCTCTCTGAATTATTTCACCGTCATGGGATGTGCACGGGCAAAATCACATTACCACCCACTGTGCCTGAGAAAAATCTAATTAATGACCTTCCCTGGTTGCACTACAGCTGGAGAGGCCTCACAACAGGAAGTCTTTGGTTTAAACCTGGCTCAGGTTTCGGCCTGTGGAGGTTCACACTGATCAATAATAAGGTGCATGTCACACTGTGAGAGATTAATGAAATATTGATTTGGATGTGTGTCAGACTGCACATATAGTTACTGTGGTGAAGAAAGATCTCAGATCTTTTATTTGTGTAGAAGTACTCTGGTAAAAGTATTGGCATCAAAACACACTTAAAGAATCTGTTGCATTTAGGGAGTGGGAATTTGGGAAATGGAGTTAAAGGTTTACTGATACTTGTGTTTGCTATTAGACTACAATTCCCAGATTGCATCTCTGTAGTTACGTCTTCAGTGAGTGATGTTATGTTCCATTTAAACATTTCAACTGGAACGACACCTGACGTCGGATTTCTAACTAGGAAAGTCGGAAGAACTTCATCAACCCCAACCTCAAAATCCAAGATGGCTGCTCTGTGCGTCAACTAAATGAAAGCTGTTGTAATATTCTGTTGCAATGAGAATAATGTAACGGCGACAACGCTGACAGACACGATTTACAGCGCACCATCAAATCTAAAATCTAAAGTCTAGAAGACATTTGGTTTATATAAAACGGAAGGAAAGCAATTAAGTACAGCAGTAGCACGAGAAATCTTATGGTGACACCTATGCAGGCAGCGAGGAGTCTGTGGATGCTAATACAGCTAGCACAAGTGAAAACACGTGAGATATTAAACACTTTCAAGCCACAACTGAGCTCCAACTTAGATGATGTCTAAGGTAATCACGGCAAGTCTATGTCTGTGTCTGTTGGAAAAGCAGTATACACAATGAGCTGTATCAGATTGCATCGTAACGCATTGAATCGCACCGAATTGTTCCATATTAAAATGCATCGTCCCTGAATCGGTCTCGACAGTCTAGTGACTGCTGGCTGTTAGGATCGGCTAGTCCTGTAACAGTCTACCCATCGACAAACCAAACACTGACTCTAGTTTGCAAGTTTTTGCAGCCACCATAGTTTCTCCAGCACACTTGTAATTGAAGGGTGAGTTCAGGGCGATGCAACCAGCAACTACACTGATACATGCCACTAATTCCTACACACTGGGCCTTCAAATTAAAGTATATTGTGGACCCCACCTCTCCCAATGTTGTTAGGAGATCTGAGCCCTTGTCACGACAGTTAACAGTGTTTAAGGACACTTTCTAACTGTGGGGAACACGTAACCAGTACTTTTTACCAAACATGTATTTTTTAGTCATTGAAGTGAACATTTTGACCAAGTAGCCTACCAGCACCATCTGTCACTCAAGCTGCTTTCCTGTCAGACCAGCTGCTTGTTTCACTGCAAGAGGAACACTTTAAGAAACTGAGGAAAAGATCTGGATGAAGCTTTTTGTCTGTACATTTCTGTACAGTAGAGAAATCCAGAGGTAAGCAACATTCATAGCTGAGTGTGAAATAACATTTATGCTATATTCACCCTTATCCTTAAATAATTACTAATTACTTATATATATATTATAATTACTAATAGCTACTTTTGAATGTTTCTGAACAGATTATGGTCTGTTTTATGGCTTCACAAACATTGATGTAGATTCAGTTTCAGAGTCATTATATGAAAACAGTTTGAAAATAAAAATCTAAAACTTAATTTTAAATTTAAACACTCGTTTTGTTTCCATTTGGATCACAGATTTTATTTTCTATTAAAGATTACCTTAAATAGCTGAAGTGCTGCCCTTCACCACGGTGCTAGTCTTAAACCTGAGCTGGTCTCTCTGGTCTCATTTATAAATATGTTCTTAGATTTATACTTGAACTTAAGGTCATTTCTGACGGTGTGCTTACGTTCGATTCATAAAACATACTAGCACTGTTCCTTTGTGATTTCCCCTAATATAATTCTAGCACAAATGAGGGTTTTGTCAGGCCTGCCAGGCAACAGATGGTGAATTAACAGTGTTATGAGTCGGTGTTTAATTTGGCATATATCTGATCCACCAACCAGCAGAGACAAAATATAAAGTTTTTACAGAGTATAGTTCATCTTTATTTTATTTTATTTTTATTATTA